AAGGGACACACTCAGACTGGATGGCGGCAGCAGATGCTCTGATGTCAGAGCACTGATAGGCCATCGTCTCTGCTCATTAGGTTTTGGGGGCCTTCGTCAAAGATGGGCCTGCAGTTCAAGCATAATGAATGGGAAATAAGCCTTTGCCATGTTAAACCGCCGAGGGTTTAGTGTCAGCTTGTTACCATAGCATTGCTTATGCGGTATTAACCAATTCAGGCAACAAAAAAGCCTTTGAGCCGGGGGGCGCAGAGGGGCGCAAAGAACAAGAAAAGACAACGTGTATGAAACATGAAAGAGGGGGGGGTGCTTCCCCTCTGCTGACTTGAGGTGAGAGGCAGCTAATGCTCCCCCCTCGCGCTGCCCGGGAGTCACAGTCGGGAAGCGGGAGGAACCAAAGGAATGCTCTTGGCAAATCTTTCTTAATCGCCCCTCCTTTTGCCTATTTTATATGGGGGGGGGGTACATCAACGAAGGGGTCAAGAATCACATGATCAGTTCTTACATATTACTTTGAACATGTTTTTCTTGGCTTTCTCTTTGAAATCATGGTGTGACCTGATTATCTTTTGAGTCTTAGCGCTTCTGTTGAAATTTCCAATTTAACATCTTATTATAGAAATCAAAACAATTAAAGGTATAAGAAATTGGCATATCCTCTCTTGCTGGTTTAATGGGTATTTGGTAAGCCATGATAGGGTATTGAGGTAAATGTGTTGAGGTAAATCTCAAGTTTAGTTTAACAGACGACAGTATATAAAACTGGGCAGCCAACGAAGACCAAATACACATTCCTTAAGGGTATCTATGGAACATTCATCAGATTTGTCTGCTTATTAGGCTACAAAAGATTGTGATAAATCACAATTAGCAAAAACACCCAAAAACATACCATTGCATTCACTGAATACTAGGTAGTAAAATTAAAAATAATGTTAGAAAATGATATCTACCTCCTCATCTACATTGAAGAATAATTTTTCAATAAACGGATACATCTGTAATACTTTCAACTGTAAAGAAAAAAAGAAAAAAAGAGAGAAAGAATAAAAAAAATTAATAAATAATGTCTTCCAGAAATACTGGCAGCATCATGCTTCGTACTGAGAAACATTAAGCGTTCTCAGGATAGTAGGGAACAGACAGGGTGTTCGCTTAGCATTGTGCAGGAGGTGCTGGTCACGATAAAGAGGCCAAAAGTCTGCAAGAATTGGAAAGGAAGGGACAAACTGTACTTTGTGGGGAATACAATACAATAGTCCATGATGAAAAGCCAAAGGCTGACGAACAAACTATTAGAATGCATAAAAGAACTTTTACCTAGGTGGCTGGGTAGAGTTCCTAATAACTAACAGTAAATTAAAATATATAGAAAAAAATAACTAATACTATTTTGAGGCTTTCAATATGACAGGTTCTGTGCCATGTATTTTTAAATGTAATTTCTAATCCAATCTCAGATCAAGTCTGTTAAGTATGTCTATTGATGTCCTTGTTTTGCCAATGAAGAAACCACAGGGCCAAGTTGAGTAACTTGTGCACACAGGTATAAGAGGTGCAGACAGGAATTGAACCTAGGTATTTAATTCTAGAGTTTCTTCTTTCCACAATAGTTTAATTCATAATGGCAACAAATAAACTTAAGATATTGGTGGCCACAACAACTACATGTCCTCCCAGATCTCTGCTCTTTCTTCCATTGGTATGGAGTTGCAGCTGATAAGTGGCTGCCCAGCCAGGGAATTTCCCAGACTCCCTTACATCTAGGCGGGGCCATGTGAGTGATTTTGCCAATGAAATCAAGCAGCAATTATGTGTGTCACTTCTTGGTCAAGGTGGTTAAGGCAGGACATCTTCTCCACCCTCTATAATCTTTGTACAGGCTGGCTGGCAATACCCAGGGCAGTGTTAGAAACCTAGTGTTGCAGGTGGTAAAACCTTTCTTAGCTGTGGGCCCTGAATGACTATTTTGAATAGAGTTTGTTATATAAGACAAAAAAAAGCAAACTTCATTGTGTTAAGCCACTGAAATTTGGAGTTACTTGTTACAGCAGATGATGTTACCCTAGCTAATGTTAATTAAAAAGAGATGTTCAAGATTTACATGAAGAAACTTTATTTTTTTAAAATTATTTATTTATTTATTTTTAAATATATCTTTATTGATTTCAGAGAGAGGAAAGGAGAGGGAGAGAGAGATAGAAGCATCAATGATGAGAGAGTCATTGATCAAGCCCACAACCGGGGCACGTGCCCTGACAGGGAATCGAACCCCAATCCCCTGGATCCTAGGCCGATGCTCAACCGCTGAGCCACGCCCGGCCGGGCAACATGAAGAAACTTTAAAAGTATTTAGAAGAATGTATGAAATCTGAATAAATGGACACCGTATTATTGATGAGACAACTAATTACTGCCAAGATGTAACTTTCTCCTAAATATCTCTAATTTTAATATAATACCTTTTAAAAAGTACAATTTTATCTGGAAAATTACACTAAGAAGATTTAAAAAATAACATTTTGAAAGAGAATAATAAATGGTAGGGACTTCCTCTGTCAGGCAGCAGATACCAAAGCCTATTGTGAAATTATGACTAAACTGGAAGTGGCAGTGTCTTATAACTGAACCGCAGGCCAAGGAAAGGAACAGGTAGCCCAGAAACGGATCCATGTACCTATGAAAATTTTGCATTTAACTAAGTTAACATTCAAATCAGGAAAGAATGGACAAATAGAAAAATGTTGTTGAGACAATTAGCTACCCATTTTGAAAAAAAATAGTGCTAGATGATTTCAACATCACACTATTTTAAAAAATAAACAACAACAAAACAAACTATGAAGGATTGTAGGAAAATCTATTTATATCCTTGGAGGTAGGGAAAATCATAAAGAAAAATATTTTAAAACTCTAAGGAAAATATTCACGAACTTGATAACATTAAAATTAATATATCATGTATGCCAAGGCACCATAAACAAAAGAGAAAACACTTGCTATGTATACAGTAGGCAAATAATTAATACCAAGAACATATAAAACAAAAGCCTCCTACAAATTTATAAGAAAATGACAAATAACCCAATAGAAGAATAGGGAGAAGGTATACACTGGTATTTCACACATAAACATACAAAAAGATATTCAACCCCACTGCTAATTGGAAAAATGCAAATTAAAACAATAAAGGGATATAAGTTCTTGACCATGAGGTTGGAAAGAGTTGAAAAGTTTGTTAATATAAACTACTGGCCAGAAAGTGGAGAAATAGCTATAATTGTATTTTTGATGGTACAGTTTAAGGGAGGACATTTGGGCAATACTGTTAAAATTTATAAAGCATATATCCTTGACACAACAATTCTATTTGTCTATCTACTCTAGGAATGAATTCACTTGTATAAACAAGGAGCTATATAGAAAGGTTTTCACTGTAGCAATGCTGGTAATAAGAAACCTTGACAATAAACTTAAATGTTCACCCAAAAGTGAACGATAAACACCTAGAAACAATAAAAATAGAGTGCTTCAGCGTGGACTGATGTGGAAATGGGTCCCATGCTCAGAGATAAGACACAACATTAAGTTAAAAAGACAGTACTTACAATGCCATTTGTAAAGTGTGAAAAGAAAGAAAACCCACAAAACAAACATTTACTTCTGTATGTACTTACACGTGTATGTAGATGCCGAGATGAAGTTAGAAAGGATCAGCCCCAAACTAAAGGCAGGGAGAGCTATGGAGGGGGAGGAAATGGGACTGCGGTGGCATCAGGGGCACCTTGTACAGTGAGAATGCACTTGTGTATTTAATAGTTTAATTTAATAAATTAAATGAGAAAAAATATGTAAATGCTGAGGCTTCAACCCGCGGTTTATTTGGATGGTTTTGGTAGGAATTGGTGTTTTTTGCCATCTTCCTGGGTGATTCTGAAACCATTGGCTTGAAGATGGAATTATTGGCTAGTGTAGACCCCCTATCGTAGTCTTTAGTTCAGCTCCTGGTCTTTTCTCTAACGTGTCACGCCCGCCTGAAACACGGGCGTGGTGCTCTCGGGCAGCATATGCGCTCGCCTGGAGTGGGGCAGAGAAGCTGAGCGTGGGCCCTGCGCCAGGGCCACACGCAAACCCACGAAACGCTCCACATATTCGTCAACATAGAACATTTTCTGTTGTGTGTATTTTATCACAATTTAAAAAACAGTATATATAATTTAATGAAAACCATAGAGAATGAACTGGGTCCTTGGTCACCAGCTCAAATGTCCTCAGTCTCTGCTTGCAGGGACACTGGCCTTTCCTCCGTCCTCAGAGCGCTCTCGTTCCCCGCACCTGTCACTCTGTTGGGTGCGATGCCCGCGGTGATACACACCGCTCCGTCCCGCGTCCCTCGGCCCCGAGTGCAGGCACTATCTGATCCGAAGAGAATTCCTTGCGGATCTCAGGGAAGCCCCCCCTTCCCCTCCGGTCCCCAATTCCATTTTCTGTCCTGTTGGGAGCCAGACAACAGGGAGAAAGGGCTCAGGGCCATGACCAAGCCTGTGTAATGTGAACCAGAAGAGAATGACCTTGTGAATGGTGAGCAGCTCAGATGTTGCTGCAGAAATACGGTTTTCATTAAGGGGGCTGCCTGGAACCCGTTACGTAAATTATAACATAACATCCTCCCAATTCTGACTGCCGTGCGCGTCCCACCCAGGCGGTTCCGGGGAGAGGGCGCTGGGGCTGCGCGTCTGTATAGAAGGAAACGTGGACTCGACCCAGTTCCTGGCACATCATAGACACACGCCTCAGCTGCTACGATTACGTCACATTTAGCCCGGCCCAGCGGGGCTGTTGTGCTCCTAACCCAGAAACCTTTGCCACATTGTGCACCTTTAATCCCAGGAGAAGCAAGCGCCTCACCTTGCGACCGAGGGGGCGATGCCCCAAGTCCCCTTTAAACCAAGCCTTCCTGCCTGCTGATCGCATTCGTCTCTTTCGGTTTCCCACCCCAGCTAGCAAGACAAGGCCTCAACGTTGTGCTGATCAGCCGGACGCTGGAAAAACTACAGGCTGTTGCCGTGGAGATTGGTGAGTGACCCCAAGAAAGGGGGGAGATGTCTGTGGAGCCCACTGGCCAGCTCTGCTCCGGGCCCCCTGCAGATGCACCATCAGCATCCCTGTCTCTGTTCTCGGGAGGATGGTCCGTCTGCCAGGTCTCAGTTTACAAAGCTGCGTGCTGGCTGTTAAGTGGGCGCTTTCGCTCACCAGTGAGTCTCAGCCTCACGCACAAGTAGGTCTCCCCTCTTCTCTGGTCCGGTGTCCTTCTGTCTAGAATCAGACCTCCTCATGCAGAGGCCCCAGCTTCTCCGTTGCTTCTGCCACTCCCTTTGGGACTTCACGTCCCTATGTCTGTGCTCTGCTTCTCGCAGGAGGGTGAGGGGCGATGCTTCGTGCAGGCTGCCAGATTTTAAGAAAAGATTTGACCCAGGGCTGCTGTGTGTGGTTCTGAAGTTTGCATGGCACAGTCCTAGGAGGCAGCACTCACATGACAATGTTTTATTATTATGACCCTCTCTGAATTGTTCTTAGTTAATAGTGATCATAATACCCCTTTGGGGGTATTTGCATTTTAATGAATAATTGTTAATTTAGTAATTAATAAACTCCTTAACTCAAAGGAATACGTGATTAATTATAAAGACTCGTGAAGACCATGGCAGGCTGCCTGGGGGACAGGCTTGTGTCCCTGGGGGAGATCAGGGTTAGGAAACGGATGTGGGAGGCCTGGGGCTGAGAGTCACACCCCGGAGGCCCAGTGCCCTTGGATCAATGAATTCTGCTTTTGTTCTGTCCGGATAGCAGAAGTGGCTTTGGCCAGGGTTAGGACATTCTGCAGCATTCCCCTCACAATATTAAATGTACTTTTTATTGTCCTCTTGCAAAGCAAGCAGTGTCTTTAGTCTGAGAGTGTCCCCCACTCCCCAACTATGCCTCAAGATCACTTGCCCCAGAAATACTGGGTCTGCCCCCAACGCTGAGCAGGTGCAGCTGGTGAAATACGGCTGTTGCTTTCACATCTGCCTGAATGCTCTTGCACAAGGCAGGCTCACATGGAAGAGTGGAAGGAGCCTGGGCTGGGGAAGCAGAATGTGGGTGCCCTCGGACAAGGGAGTTAGCATCTCTGAGCCTAGTTTTCTCTTCTGGAAAATGGGGATAACACCTGCTTTATAAGGTTGTAGAGAGGAAAGATTAAAATAAGATATTGTGTAGGTAAATGCTTTACGAATGCTAAAGTGTTGGACAAATACAGAGGGTTGCTGTGTCTGTGCGGAGGGGACCTGGCACATCACAGGCAGCACCACACTGTGCTCTTATAGCCCTTGGTCCAGGGGTCTCAAACCTGAGCCTGCAGCAGAGTCAGTTGGAGCGCGTGTACAAACAGACCACTGGGCCCACTCCCAGGGGCTCCTGGTTCTGTAGGTCTGGGGTGGAGCCTGAGATTTTGTTTTTCTAACAAGTTGCCAGTGATGCTGATGCTGTGGTCTGGGGACCCCACTTTGAGAATCACTGCATTAAATCTGTTCTGATTCATATCCTTGTTACTGTAGTAACTCTCAGACTCCCACAGAAACCACTATTCACAAATCTTCTTACACATCCCAGCATTTATCCAGGGCTAGTTCTTGTTTCTAAAGGGGAGATGGGCTTGTGCTCTTAAATGCCTGCTCAGGCTAAGGGGGAGCGAGGGGGAACTCCACAGGCAAGAAGGGGGTTTGGACTCCTGTGCATGAAAGAGTAACTATTGTCTCTAATGCAGAGAGGACTACAGGGAGTAGTGTGAAAATTATACAAGCAGATTTTACCAAGGACGACATCTATGAGTATATTAAAGAAGAACTTAAAGGCTTAGAGATTGGAATTTTAGGTAAGTAAATAGCAAAACTCAAAGCTTGTTGTAATACATCAGTGAAATAATTATCTTCGTGACACTTGTCTATTCCTTGGCGGCTTAAACTTAACCCATAACTGTATTTTAAGCTGTAGCATTAAATGATATTAAAGTTCAGCTCTTCAAGAGGTGTTACCTGATTAACAGATTTATATATGGCTTTAGAATGTATCAAACTTACATATGTCAACTGTCCTGACCATATTTCCTAATGTTAGAATGAATTTTCTTTCACTGACTGATATTGACACTTGGCAGGAAGAGGGAATCTCAGAAACTTCGGCCTAAAGGAACTCAACTCATTTAACAAACAGACACTGCTGTGACTGACGCTGGAAATGGCAAGTCAGTGCGCTTATTTGAGAACTGACTACCACATTCAGGAGACAAGATCATATTTTTTCTGTGATGATTTATAAACAAGCTAGTTCATAACTATGTACACAGTACAGTGTCTGTATTGTGCATAGAAGGAAGATTTGATTTCTAAACTTCCTGTTGAATTTCAAAAAGAATTACTAATTTTTTTTACTAATAAAAATGTAAAACACATCATTGCAGAAAAACTGGAAAGAGTAGAGAAGCACGTAAAGAATTATGAATTTCTTAAAATCCTGATAGCCTGAAGTAGCATTTTAGTGCATATCCTTCCAGATACATATTTTCATATATTTACATGTATTTTACATATTTACAAAACTGGGATTAAGCTTGCTGTTCTGTAACGTTTTTAAGAACTGCCCATCACAAACATTTTCCTGGGTCTTTGCGACTAAGCAGCCGTGGCCGTGACTGACGGGGTCGCGTTCCAGCCGTGGCTGCACCACGGTCCTGTTACTGGACCACAGTTTCTTCCCTCCAGTCTCTTCACTGCTATCAAATCGTGTTCAATGAACAGCCTCGTATATAAATCTTATTGAATGTTATTTTCTTAAAAACACTTCCCAAGAGAAGAATTTCTGGCTTGACTCTATTTTTAAGGCTTTCAATAAACATTCACCACTGGCTCTCCTGACATCTTTGTGTTTTGCCTACTTGTCAGTCAACAATGTTGGAATGCTTCCAAGCCTCCTCCCGAGCCATTTCCACAACACGCCCAACGAAATCCAGGTATGTCTGTGCTTTCCGTGGGTGACGTCTCATCAGGCCCTGGGCTCCCCGGCTGGATCATCACCAGGCCTGGGAAGGGGGTCTGGACAGGACTCTGCGTTCCCGGTGGGTGTCTGGAAGTTTCCCTTTCTTTTCATCTCAGCACCTGATACACAGTTAAGGGCCTCACTGTTCATGGCCATCTCTAGGCTGAGGTCATCTTCCCCCATCTCCGCACATCCTCCCTGCCTACTGTCCCAGTCTTTTGGGGGCTCTGTGCTCTGCTTCAGAAGGGGCAATACTGCCTGAAAATTCACAGCTGTGTGTGCCAGTGGGAGAAGGCCGGCTCTTTGGTAACAAAATATNAAGGGGCAATACTGCCTGAAAATTCACAGCTGTGTGTGCCAGTGGGAGAAAAGGCCGGCTCTTTGGTAACAAAATATTTCAATAGTTCAACTTTCAGCGTGAGGGAAGTCAATGATAGGCTCTGTGGTTGGGTATTGTAAGTTCAGCAAGCTTGGCTCAGACCCATGGCTCCCATTGCTGGTCATGAGTAAATCTGCTGTGCATTTAGCAGTCCTGGAAGGTACTGCTTGTTAGGTCTTCCCCAGGCCCTGACCTTCGAAGTCATGGGGTTATACTAATCCTGATTCTCTCGTGCTTCCATTCTCCGATTCTGCAGGGATTCCCATGGTCCTGTGTAAGCCCTGAGTCCACTGCATGGGGTAGAGTGACAGATTGCTTGGACATCGCTGCACACCCTTGCCAAACCCCTTCTTGGCCATATATCTAGCCCTGAGGCCCTTGCTTCTGGTATAAATATGTGTCTCTCTATTAAGCAGATTCTATTCTTTCTTCTCTTTATCCATTAATGTCTGTATTTGTGCTTGTTTCTGTGTCTGTCCCTCTTTCCCTCTCTGTTTAGCTCGTAGTTTCTTTATCTGGCCTCTATAGCCCGGAACCTCCACCTCGTATTATACAATCATTCCCCTTTCTCTTCTCTAGGTTGTTGTCTTTTAGATGCACATATGCTAACCTCTCTTCCTCCAGATGGAAATTAACCATCTCCCTTTGAAAAACGGTGTCTATATTCCTCTTTAAATTTTCGAGGAAACTCTTACTTGACTTCTATTTGAGATCACACTTTACAGAGTCACAGTACAGACGTCAGATGTTTCCCAGCTCTAGGGCATCCTGGCTGAACATCAATTAGGAGCCTAATTTGCCGGCTAAGCAAGTGAGGGAACAACTCAGACATAACGCTTTTGCCTACTTTATGGCTCTTTGGCACTGACTGCATCTCAAGAGGATTTCTCAAATGATCCGGCTGACTTGTGATTATAATTATCTATTACAGGGCCTCATCCATTGTAACATCACCTCAGTAGTGAAGGTAGGTAACCAATGTATGTGCTAAATGCATTAAAATGCAGCAGCTATTGGGATGTGGTGACTCAGGAGCCTAGCCCCTTCCCTGTAGAAGGAGAGTCTCTGAAATTGGACTGCGCATGACTGAGAGGTCAAGCAGCGGCCTTTAAGCCTCTGATTCTGTTTTCATCAAGAACAGTGATGGAGTCACTCTCTCTAGGGTTGGAATCCTATTTCTGCGTTCTGTTTTGTCACATGTCAGAACATATTAGACCTGACGATGCTGATACTGATTCTGGATTCCGAGGTGACTTTTAAAAGAATTCCATACCTTCCTCTGATTTTATTCTTGTTAGTCAAGGAAAACTTGGTCTGTTCGGAAAAAGACAGAGGGCGCGGCGTGGATTTTATGGACTCTTGTTGTTCAATAAATACTTGTTGAATTGAAGTTCATGTTCATATATATTCCTGACCCCAGCTCAGCCATGAGTTGGTTGGACAGTGTTGGGCATGCTGTTTAATTCCCTCAAATCTCAGATTCTTTCTTTTAAAAAATATGTTTTGTTATTGATTTCAAAGAGAGAAAGGGAGACAGAGAGAAAGATCAATGATAAGACAGAATCATCAATCTGGTGCCTCCCCCTCCCTCCTCTGCACGCTCCCTACTGGGGATCCAGCCCACAACCCGGGCATGCGCCCTGATTGGGAATTGAACTGTGACCTTCAGCTTCATGAGTCGAACTCAACCACCGAGCGCTGGCCCAGCAAATCTCAGATTCTTTATCTGCTCTGAAAAGTGTTGCAGTCAGTGTGTGTTAGATGCTGTTCAGCATAAGCATTTATAGACATGACCACCACGGAGCTGTCCTACTCTGTGCCCTGAGTGAGTAAGGAAAAGGCACGCCTTCTGGGCAGACAGTTTGGGAAAATGTGCTGCTTAAGTGTGGACCCAGCCCGCTGCTTGGCGAGGGGATGGTACTTTTGTGTGAACACATGTTTTCCTGTCCTCTGAATGGTGAGAACCCTCGAAATGGCTTGTGAGTGAACCCTGGGCTTTCAGCCCCCACTTACCCGACGGCTGGGCGCCTGGCTGAGTATACAGAATTCACAGCTGCCTGTGGCGCCTTGTGGCCATTCAGTTAGGCCCAGTGGAACTGCGGCAATGAGGCAGGTAGAATCCCTGATTTCATGGGCCTGGACTCTGGTTGGGGAGCAGCAGGGGGCTCAGTGTCATCTTGAAAACATGGACCGGCCATGGAGGCCTGCTTTCCCCTAGGAAAATCAGCTGCTTTCAACCTAAGGAGAGGGTATGGATGCTGAGAAGAACAAAAAAATTTTTTTTTTCAAGTGGATAAGTTGGGCTGACAAAAATTGTTTTTACCATTGGTTGTTTTTCTGTAAGCACACAGGTGTTTTACAGTTGCTTGCTCTGTTTTTATTGGTACATACATTCTTTTATGCTGAGCAATCAATGGCTTTTTAAATCTCCCAGTCAATGTAATTGTAAGTTTATGTGCCCAACTGTTGGCAGCCTTACTACTAAAATTTCTCACTTTATTTTACTTGTGGATCTCTCAAACTTGGTCCATTTGATCACATGGCTTCCCAAATGTATTTGATAACCCTCGACTCTTTTAGCAGAGAAATGCTTTGATTTGCTAAGAAATTATTTTATATGTTGTTAGACACTAACTTCCCTAAATAACAGAGAAAACACATTGCAGTTTAGCTTGGAAGCCCTCCCCAGTTGTCCACGCTGGTGGGAGGCACCTCAAGAATCACTTAATTATTCCAAAGGAGCCACCTGGAAATAGTAGAGGCCTCTATCAAGGGCAGAGATGGGAGATGAGTTTGAGGGCAAAGGAAAGGTGAGATCAGAGACTCAATATTGGGAGCTTTGTGACAGACTCACAAAGTGTGATGTTATCTCTCTAACTGGGATTACTCGCCCAATGAGGCTAGTGAATTCGTTTGGGAGACTTTGAGGACACCCTGGCTGGCTCCAGTGACACCCTCAATGAAGCTGGAAATGCCAAGGAAGGGTGATGACACACCCTTCAAATCCATGGTTTCAGGAGGCAGTTTCAATGGGTTCTAGGGAGCACCCCCACCACTCCCACCCCTGCCGCTGACCCAGAGCAGTGAAAACATTCTCCAGAGGCTCCCGCAGATGGGCTTAAGGGCCAGGCCTGTGAAAAGGGGGCATGGCAGGGACACAGCCCACTGGGAAGCTCCTGCAGGGCTTCCAGACAATTCAGAGAAATAGGCAGAACTAGTCTTCTGGTCCCGTCTTTTTTATTTCTCTGCCTTTCCCTATCCGTTCGGTTCCTCTCTGTCTTGAACCTGTTCCCCAGACAGGGCCTGAGTCCCTCAAATGCACCTTTGAGAACATTTTCGTTCACACGGTCGCCTCCTCCTTAACTCTTAAACTGCATGCCATATAATTATGATTTGAAAGCTCTTTTAAAAATTTTTATTTATTTTCAACTTTTTGGTTAATTCTCACCAGAGGATATTTTTTCCATTGATTTCTAGAGAGAAGGGAAGGGAGGCCAGGGGTGTGGGGTGGGGAGAGAAAGAAACATCATGTGAGAGAGAGACATGGACTGGTTGCCTCGCACACGGGCCCAGACAGGGAATTGAACGCGCGACATTCGGTGTGCAGGCCAACGCTCTAACAGCAGAGCCACACAGGCCAGGGCTGAAAAGCTCTTTTAACAGGATGGTTAAGCTCCAGAAGTTTCAGAGAAGACCTCTTTGGGGGCAGAAGGTTGGGAGGGGGAAGGGGCTTCTCAACACAGTTGTAATTCTGACAGATAGACAGACATGTTTTGTCCAGGGCGCTGTTCACAGACCACCTGCAGGCTGCCGGTGTGGCTGCTGCCGAACTGACAGACGCCCTTCTCCATCCCATCCCTTGTCCTGAGGTGCCTGTGGACACTTGTGTGGTCTCCTGGCGGCCCCCCAACCCTAACTCATGGCCGAGGTTTCTGATGAGCAGCCTACTTTTGCCCGTCTCCTGGGGGAAAGAGTATCCGGGGAGCCTCAGTGCTGATCCCACAGCCAGGAGCCAATTTCCATAATTTTCCACTACCCTCATTTTGCAGGAAGACTTTAGGTTTATGAAGGAGAAAGCAGAGGCCTCTGAGCAGTTTGCCGTTTGTCTAGGTTGCCTCTTGTGGGTCCCAGCCAGACTCTAGTGTTGCCAGAGCAGATGTTCAAGGCCACCTGAGAAGATTACGCAGCTCTCCAGCTTCCTCCCACACCCACCGCCCCAAGTCGCACTGCCCATTGCTATTTAGTTCCTTTGTCAAGCCTTAACTCTGGCCTTCTCTTCTAGATGACCCAGCTAATTCTGAAGCACATGGAATCAAGGTAAGGCCTTTCTTTGAAACAGCGTGGAGCAGCATGGTCTCCCTGGGCTGGCAGGCAGCTGACTTGGAGGCAGGGGTGGGGGTGTGTGGGGGGTAGGCAGGGTTCATCCCGCTGCTACTTTAACAGATGATAAAACTATCATGAAAGGACATGGAGATTAGAGGGGGGAAAAAATAACATTCTGGTCCGGCCAGCTTTGCAAAGGATAAGCATATTTGAAGGTCAAATGTAATGTATACTGGAGGGAGGAAGAAAACACCAGATTCAGCACACATTGTATTAAAAAAAATTAACTTATGTTGAGCCTAAAAGAAACTTCAGAAGTTGGCCTGAAACCAAGACCGTCTCTTTATTATTATGAATTTCAGCTCTTGTCAGAATGAATAGTCCAATTTAGTGGTAAAAATCACCACCCCATAGTGCCTCCATTTATTCCATGTGTTTATCACCCTATTACCACACCCACTGGGAGCTGGTTTCCAGGTGGTATTTGTTAAAAGCAAATGGTCGATAGTTTCCTCTTTCCCGGAGGAAACAGGGGCTTGCCCTTGCACTCCAATGCGCGGCTTCTTGGTTTTTCTGAATCGAACCCATCTCATTGGGCTGGATTAAAGAGATTACACTTCAGAGGATAATTAAGGACCCCCAGAGACTTGTGTGGGCCCTGTGTGAGCGGATGATGGAATGCCCAATTCCACCCAAGGCTTATGGCATCTGTCTTGTTGCGTGGGTTGTCTTTATGGGTCAGAAGGGACCTGAGCTCCTGTGGCCACACTTGGGAGAAACGATCTCTCCCCGAATCTTGTCTGAACTCAGTTGGTTTTCTGCATTTTGGTGGGAGAACTTTTGCTGCAACATAGCCCGTTTCCGGTCACAAGCCCTGAAGGGCACCCACTGCCGAGTGACATCACTGCGTGGTGAGGCAGTCCCTGAAGGGAGGCCCTGTCCCCAGCCTGGGAGCGGAGCACTTAGTGCGCTTGGAAGCCTAGAGAGGACAGGGCTTGCCCAGCGTTCACACAACCCCCTTTGTTTCCTTCCTCTTCAAGGTGCAATCCAAAGCAACCGAAACTTTGCTTTATTCTTTGCCTTTTAGGAGAAAAGGGCTCATCTTGAACATTTCTTCTGGGGTGGCACTCTTTCCCTGGCCTCTATACTCCATGTATTCGGCTTCCAAGGTGGGTAACAGCGTGTACTTCCCCCAGTTGGCATTTTCCTTTCGACCATCGGGCCAGTCTATGGACAGATCTGCCAGGAGGCGCACTTCCATGCACAGGGCGGAGCTAGTCAGCAGGTGTTTGGGTGCATATTAGAAAAAGGTGCTGCCCCCGGGCTGACGAAGGCCTGTAGCCTGGCAGGCGCAGCCCCTGGGCCTCTAGCTCTAACTCACCTCCTTGCCTGGGAGCCCTGCTCTGCCTCCCAGCTGGCAAGTAACACTATTGTTTCCTTCCTGCCCTGGAGGCCTAGCCAGGTGTCTTAGTGACCTAGTCTTAAAATCAAACTCTGGGAGGAGGGCTGCTCTACACTAATGACAGCCCCCCCAGGGTTGGGTCATTAATGTGCAGTGGTCCAAGGTAAGTATTTACCCCCAAATGTATGTTCCCATTGATTGAGGGAGCTTTTCTCAGACTAAGAAATGTAGTCCTATCTCCCATCAAGACACACGGCTACATTTTAAGATAAATCGAGCCCTTTGAAACTGGAGTGAGTTGGTTCTGGTGGATATAGCAAGCTCTGGTCCTGAGGGGTTTCTTCCTTCTTGCTCTAGGCTTTCATGTGCACGTTTTCCAAGGCACTGCAAGCGGAATATAAAGCGAAAGGAATCATTATCCAGGTGAGGCTGACAGTTCTGAGTCCGTGGGAACAGGAGCCCCAGATCCCCGTTGAGCCGGGGCCACTGCCTCCTGCAGGGCTGGTGGTGCAGGTGCCGCCAGGAGGAAGGTGGTCTGGATGACGTTGGGAGTTCCTGAGACCAGTGTGGTGGCAACCGTGCCATGGTGGTTCAGCCTGCCGCCGCCCTCACCCAAGCATGCCCTGGGCTGGAGCAGGAATGGGGCAGGGTGAGCGAGTGCCCAGAAACGCTGTCGAGCCTCTTGACATCAGGGTCTTGTTGACCGTCCTTTCCTCTCTGATGTAGGCAGGGGACAGGCTTATGTGGGAGGGTGTTGGAGAGGGCTCTTGGCCAGTGTTGGAAAGGATGGGAGCGCTTCCCTTGTGGCCGTTCATCTGTGATGGGCACAGAGACCCTCACACCCTGGCACATGAGCAGTCGGGGAGGAGGTGCCCTGATTCCCCTTGTGCCACCAATGGCCGACCACCTGGAGTGACCTAGTCCTAACTGTAAGCAAACTGGGGTGTCACTGCTGACTGTAGGCTGAGCAATATGACATCTCAAGGTGTCAGAGTTGTGCATGTGGTTGGCTCAGCAACACATAGTCAGGTAACAGTTTCTAGGACCTGGAATGAAAAGTGTATTGACAGAGGCTTTTTTGCTATTTGGGAGGAATTTGTATGCCATACAATTGGAAATGAAAAAGGCTCTCTCACAGTGATATCTTTAAAACTATTGGTGTGCATACTGATTTTCAATTAAATCAGGTGGCTGTTCTTATCAATTAACCAGCTATAGGGTAAAACTTATTCAAAAGGCAGGTATGGTCTGGCTGGCATGGTTCAGTGGTTGAGCATTGACCTAGGATCCAGGAGATTGCGGTTCAATTCCCGGTCAGGGCACATGCCCGATCCCCAGCAGGGGATGTGCAGGAGGCAGCCGATCAATGACTCTCATCATTGATGTTTCTATCTCTCTCTCTCCCTCTCCCTTCCTCTCTCTGAAATCAATAAAAATATATTTAAAAAAATTTTTAAAAAATGCAGGTATGAGTTCATAGCGAGAACTTTGCAAATAACATGGACTTCCTGGCCACAATGAGTGACTGTGACAGCCAGGCCATGCCACTAGACCACAACACTGCTGAACTAGTCTCATCTATCAGATATTCTTCCTTCCTATCCATCTTCCAGCTCCCAGCTGAAGACAGATTCCTTTTGCCAAAGTGCTACCCCATATAGGCTGTTTGCTGCAGTAAAAAATAACCCTTAAATTCCACTGACTTAAAACCACAAAGATTTATTTCTCACTCATGATGCCCATGCACTGGGAGCTGCCGGAGGGCATTAGCTCGGCGTAGGGAGGCAGGACCCAGGCGGGTGGAGCCGCTGCATCGTGGGCATTGTCAGCTGACACACCAGGGAAAAAGTGCTGGGAGTTCTAGAGGATCTTGTTTTGATAACTAAGAGCTTTGGCTCAGAAAAGGCTCATGTCACTTTTGCTCATACCCATCGGTCAGACCTGGTCCCACCCAACCAAGGGGCCCAGGAAGTGCAATTCTGTCACATGTCCGGAGGAGGAAAGAACTAGATACCCGCTGGACAACACTGATGGTTACCAGAGCTACTCGTTTACTAGCCATGTGACAGCCTCAGCATCATCTTGGCCTTGAGAGCTGTGGCGAGAGATGCTGTGGCTGTCAAGTTGGTGGGCTCCGTGGAACAGCAGGGGTGGGAGGAGGGGGTAGGAAAGGGGGCCCCCTCCTTGATGCAGGAGCCTTGGAGCTGGTCTCCTAGCAAGTATGAGAAAGTGAAAAGACGCTGCGACCTTTCAAAACCCACTGGCCTCTCCAAACGCTTATGTAATTGGTGCTCAATGAAGATGTGTTAAATGCACAGGGAAGCATGTACTAGAGACTTGAGTTTGATTTTCAAATCCCAGCTCTGCCACTTACCATCTGAGTGGTCCTGGGAAACCTGCTGAAACTCCATGAGCCTCAGTTTCCCCACCTGTGAAAAGAGGTGGACAATACCTGCTCACTTCTCTAGGTTATTATAAAGGTCTAATGAACAGACAAGTATGCAAGTTTCACCACTGTTTACTGAGCCCCTGTGTTCTGCAATAAGGTGTTTTGTCAACCAAATCTCACTGTAGGAATGAAAATACTGATTAGTTCCCTGTCTGGAAACCAGTTGGGAATACATGCTCCTGCATCTCTCTAAGAGTAACACTTTGAGACCTTGGGAAGAAAGCCTTGTGCAAATTAATGACAGCATTCATGTCCGTGGGAGCCCATTCAGGTGGACTGACTGATTCATAATTAGGTCCAATGACATTATGAACAATGTCATTTCAAGTGCGAGGTGAAGACAATGTGATGTGACAAAAATTGCAAACGTGGTGTGAATAAAAGTAAAACCAAGAAAATAAGCACGGGTCTTTTTTTTCGCTCTAAAGATGCCAAGGCCTCTGTGTCTGGGAGTAGTCAGACCCCCTCCCCCCCCCCCGGGGGAACCTCC